AGCTTACTGGGCCTTACCGGATTCTTCCAGGCAGGTCCCTGAAGAGCCAAGTTCTGCTCTCTGAAAGTCCAGGATTGTGTTCCAGCTTTTTGTCTTGCTCTTACCTCTCAGTAATGTGAAATTCCTGACCATCACAACCCATTCTTTCTTGTTTGTACATATGAGGTGTACTTTTCCTCATTGGCTTCTTGATCAATTGTGTCAGCAAGTAAATGCACTCCAGACATCTCCTGGACAAATATCTCTGAAGTCGTATCAGAGTTTGGTCTGCCCTCTAAGTCAAAGATAAGCTTTCAGCTGGCTTATCACTTGTCCCTAGTTAGAACCTCACACTTTCCCCTTACACTTAATCCACTATTTCCTCGCTATCTCGAGAGTTATCTCCATCCTCCACCATCCCTAGTCCTGGCTCTCTTTTCACCAGGTTAGCCAGCTTGCAGCAAAGATGCTTTTGCCCCACCTTGGCAGGTGGATTCCATCTTTTCCTAGAAGGCCTATATGTTTTATTAACATCCAAACACATTTAAAATAAAATCTAACCATCACTACAGATATAGTCTTTGCTGAAAGGTTGTATCTTTATAACGAAATCAAATATCAAGAAAACTCAAACCTGTTTTACATTAACCCATTTTGTAATATTGACATTTCCCCACCTAAATGAGGGCTTTTGATTTTTCTTGGTAAAAAGTCAAAACAAAAAAAGCCAAAAAAGTTTTGTTAATCACAGTAGTTGAATGTCAAATTTCTAGTCAGAATAGTCTGTGTGGTGAAATTCTAACCCTTCAGAAGCTGATTTATAATGGAAGTGTTGACATAGCTATACCAACAGAAATACAATGCCAATACATTATTCCTTTATGGTAACAATGTAGAAGCTGCCCTGTAATTTGGCACAGAACATTTCTATACTAATGTAATGTGAAAATGTTATTATGTTTGCTATTTTCTATGGCATAATAGCTGTATTTGTTTTCACAAACGTAACATTACACTCACTAATATGGCTATACTTAAAGACCACCTGAGTAAAAACAAATGCAAACTTACAGAAAACACGTAATCTCTTGTAGATTTGTTTTGCTTTGCTTTGCCAGAGTAATTTTCAATCCTACTCTTGAAAAAAAAAAAAGCTAAATTGGGAGGACAGCTTTCACTACATAACCTGCTTTTAGAAGTAGTTGTGATGTTCACGAAGGGTTTCTCAGAGGGGTTGCATGCAGCCATCCATTTGTAAGAACAGCCATTAACTGTCATTTTAGTACAATCTTCGATAAAATCCTGTTTTGTAGGAACAACTGCTACTGGCCTGCTTTGTACACTTATCAATGTAACACTTCTGTCTGTCACATCTGAAGAGCAGTGTTGCCCTGAATCTCAAAAAAAAATTTTGCCTTATGTGGTGCTTATTTTGAGCAAACTTTCAAAAAATCTTCATGTTAAGATGTACACATTTTTACTTGGAATAATACACTGAACAGTACAGGAGTAATATTTTGCTATTATAGGAAAAGTTAAAGAAACTCCTTGCACATTGTATTAGTAAAATGTACTGTGACACTTTTCAAGAAAATACTTCTTTTGTTACTTCTTCTAAATTCTCTGCTTTGGAAATTAAAGACAAGAATTATATATGAGACATTTATTTTGTAAAGCCCAGAAACAATGCATGTAAAATCTTTGTGCACTGAGGTTATTATGAAAAAGATGCTGAAAGTATCAGTGTAAATACAGCAAGGTAATTTGTGCACATTTATGCAAATTACAGCTGAGACAAAACTGGGAGGAGCAGTTGATAGTCCAGATGCATGTGCATTCAGAGGGATGTTGTAAAGCTGGAGAAGTGGGCTGACAAGGACCTTGTAAAACAAAGGAAAATCCCAAATCCTACACCTGGGGAGGAATAACCCCATGAACCAGGATAGGATGCAGCATGATCAGCTGTTCAGAAAAGGATCTGAGCATCCTGGTAGACACCAAGTTGAACATGAATCAGCAATGCGCTCTTGCGCAAAGGCAGCCAACATCTCACTGGCTGCATTAGAAAAAATGTCACAGAAAGGTTAAGATATGTGATCCTTCCCCTCTAACTCAGCACTATTGAGATGCATCTGGAGCACAGTCTCATACTGCTGGCTCCCTAGTGCAACAGCAACATAGGCATACTGGAGTAAGTCCAGCAAAGGGTCAAAAAGGTGATTAAGGGCTTGAAGAATCAATAGGACAAGAGGAAACAGCCTCAAATTGTGCCAAGGAAGGTTTAGATTGCTATTAGGTAAAGTTTCTTCACTGACAGGGAGTTCATGGAGTGCACTGATGACAACTTTCTCCTCCAAATGGTAGAGGAACAAACAAGAAAAAGTGCCGTGCTGGACCTTATTGATGACGTAAAACTTAATGGTAGACTAGGCTGCAGCAACTATGACATGGTCGAATTCAGGATCCTTAGGGCAGCAATTAAGGAGCGAAGCAAGCTCATAACCCTTAATTTCAAGAGAGCAGATTTTAATGTCTTCAAGGATATGTTTTGTAGAATACCATGAGACAAAGCCCTGGAGGGAAGGGGAGCTCAGGAAAGCTAGTCCATATTCAAGAATCACTTTCTCCATGCCCAGGAGCTATGTCTCCCAATGAAGAGGAAGGCAGGCAGGAGAGCCAGGAGGCCTGTATGAATGAGCAAGGAGCTCCTAGACAGAGTTAAATGTACAAAAAAAAAAAAAAAGGTATACAGAGAGTGGAAGGAGGGACAGGTATCATGGAGGGAGTACAGACAAGTTGTCAGAGAAGCAAGGGATCAGGTAAGGAAGGCCAAAGCACAGATAGAGTTGGACCTGGCCAGGGATGTTAAGAATTAGAAGAAAGGTTTCTACAGGTAGGTCAGCAATAAGAGGAAGATGACAGAAACTGTGGGCCCGCTTCAGAAGGAACCTAGAGATCAGGTCATGCAGGACATAGAGAAGGCTAATGTACTCAATGACTACTTTGCCTTAGTCTTCACTGGCAAAGGCTCTGGTCACACCATCCAAGTTAGAGAAGGCAAAGGCATGGATTGTAGAAAGGAAGACCTCCCCACTGTAGGAGAAGAGCAGATTCATGATCATCTGAAGGACCTGAAGGTGCACAAGTCCATGGGACCTGACGGGATTCATCCACAGCTCCTGAAGAAACTGGCCAACAAAGTTGCAAAGCCGCTCTCCATCATATTTGAAAAGTTACAGCAGTCTGAAGAAATTTCCACTAACTGGAAAAAGGGAAACATAGCTCCCAGTTTCAAAAAGGGAAAAAAGGAAGACCCAGGGAATTACAGACCAGTCAGTCTCACCTCTGTGCCCAGCTAGATCATGGAGCAGATCCTTCTTAAGGCTCTGCTAAGGCACATGGAAAACAAAGGGGTGACTGGTGGCAGCCAACACAGCTTCACCAAGGGCAAATCCTGCCTAATTAATTTGGTGGCCTTCTACAGTGAGGTCACAGCTTCGGCGAACAAAGGAAGAGCAACTGATGTCACTACCTGGACCTGTACAAAGCCTTTAAACTGTCCTGCACAACATCCCAGTATTGAAACTGGATTTGATGGATGGACCACTCATTGGTAAGGAACTGGCTGGATGGTTGCACTCAAAGAGTGCTGATCAATTACTTGATGTCCAGATGGAGATGTGTGATGAGTGGTGTTGCCCACGATTTGGTACTTGGACTGGTGCTGTTTAACACCTTTCGTGGTGACATGGACAGTGGCATTGAGTGTACCCTCACCAAGTTTGCTGATGACACCAAACAGTTTGGTGAGGTCGACATACTGGAGGGAAGGGACGCTATCCAGAGGAACCTCGGCAGGCTTGAGAGATGGGCTCATGCAAACTTCATCAAGTTCAACCAAGTCAAGTGCACGGTTCTGCACCTGAGTCAGGGCAATCCCAAGCACAAATTCAGGCTGGGTGGAGAATGGATCAAAAACAGTCTGGAGGAGAAGGGCTTAGGAGTGATGGTGGATGAGCTGGCAACATGCTTGCAGCCCAGAAGCCAACCACGTCCTGGGCTGCATCAAAGGAAGCATAGCCAGTAGGACCCCACCTGGACCCCAGAGTACAAGAAGGACGTGGAGCTCCTGAAGAAAGTCCAGAGAAGGGCCAGAAAGTGATCTGAGGGCTGGAGCACCTCTCCTACAAGGACAGGCTGAGAGAGTTGGGACTATTCAACCTGTCACTTATTCAGATAAATGTACACAAATAGAAATAAAAATGCCCCCTTCATATGGATATAAAAATATGCAATATCTGGATATTTAAAACACTACAATTTAAGAAGAAAACTCAGTAGTTTGCTTTAATCTGGTACTTGTGGATCATTATGGCTCTAACATTACTGTTCCACTTTCACTTCTGCATTAATTCTATTTAGATCAATAAGGCCAGATTGGAATGAAATTATACTATGATATTGGTAAACCTTATTCTTGACACTGTTAAACTTTTCCTGAAAGACCATATGGTTGGTGTATGTTATGTAGTTTTATTTAGATGAAATGTAAAAGAACTAAAATACTTGGCATGCTTTTATTATTGGAATGCTTAGTCTGTCACCTAAAGAAATCTACATAGGGAGATAATGAGCCTTGTCAACTGTTTCACAGTATTTATAGTCCTCATGATATAATCCTATAAAACAATAAAATGTAAAATGTGTTTTTTTTTTTTAATTAGAAAAAAACCAACTTGTAACATTTATGCAAGAAAGGGATTATATAAACAGGTAACCATCAATATTTTAGACATGTACTCAAGTATAATAAAACAAAACTCTGCCAGTGTCTGATACTGCACTTTGTCCAAAATCTATACTGTAAAATGTAGCTGTATTCTTTTCACAAGTCTTACAGGTTGTCATAGGATTTGTCCATTCATTTAAATATCTAATATTAAAGTATTATAAAGCTTCAGGCCCTTGCTTCAAATATTAGAGCTCTTGAGTGTTCAAATCAGCATTTTTAGTGTACTTACGGTCATTGCATAATGGTCCACTAAAGGAGGTCATACTACAGTCACAACTGAATCCATCCCACTGCTGCAAGCACACTCCCTGGTTTGCACATGAATCCTCTTGGCATGTTGTGCTGGGGCCTGATGAGAACACACAAAAAGGGACTTGCACTTTGTCTTCCAGAGAAGAATATTCTCACTGGATCACATTAACTAGTTGCCAGCATCTCAAATCAAATCATCAAAGATTTACCAAGGAAAACACACATAAACTTGCTGATTTTGTAGCAGCATGTACTATTAAAAGGGTGTTTTTTTTCTTTAGTTTTAAATTTGACACATCAAACACATAAAAATGCACAAACTGAAGCAGAGTTATTCCAGGTACAGTGGGAATGTTAACTCTCTTTCAAGTTATTTGTTAATCTTGTATCAGATCATTAATGGCTAAAAATTTTCTAAACATTTGAGTATTATTTTTTTTCTGCAAATACATTTCAACAAGCAAAGGCAGATGCCACAATGCAAAGGTCTAGGAGATGAAAGTAAAGACTGAAAAATAAAATTAAAATAAAACAAAATCTAAAAAAAATAATTAAATGAAGTTACACTATGCAATATTTTAATCCCACAAATTATTTTAAATTATTTAAGTCTGAAATTAAGAAGAGTTTGGGATTCTTTGGCAGGAATGTTGGCAAGTACCAATTCACATGCTTCAGGGATCCCATGCAGGTTCCTTTTTAAGGGGAAATGCAGAAAATCAGACTACTAATGAACTGTCATGCCAAAATGTAACATACACATGAAAAAACAAAGCTATTCTGTTTCTAGTGAATCATAACTAGACTACTGCAATATAAAAAAATTTGAAAAGGAATGATCCAAGCACTAAAGCAATCACTATACAAACATTCAAGACTGAAAGCCTTTATGCAAGCTATGCTGGAAAATGAAGGCTCATGTAGCTCATTGTTTTAGAGGTGTGAAAGGCAAAACCTGAAACAAAAGAACACTTTCATTCTGAAACATACAGAGCATTTATTGCAGAAATCCAACTGTGCATTGGGGGTTTCAGTCTTGTTTAATACACACAGGGCTATCTACCTTGCAAATCAGCTTTCATCAATGCAACTTTGTCAGCAAAATAAAAAAGCAAAATATATTAAATGTTAGTAAGCAATATTGAAATGGCAGCAAACACAGAAAAAAAAACATTCAGAGTAAAGTGCATGCTGCTGTTAAAGAGAGAAAAAAATGCCATATAATGCAAACAAATTAATGCTAGTAGCCAAAAATCTTCAGGCAAGCCAAAATAAGAAAGCAGTAATTTGCCAGTATTTTACTACAAATATAATGGTTAATTGAGCTGATGACATGTAATGAAGGAAAATTAAAAGGTTTGGGGTTTTTTGTTGTTTTGTTTTTTTTAATTCCTTGGATAGACATGAATACATTAGCAGAGTAAATGCATGGCTGAATCCTGACTAGCCATTTATCATGTTCAGATGCACTGAATTTAAGAATAATTATCACTGTCATCCTCTCTGGTCTTTCTTTTTTTCTAGCCTTTTCTTTGTGACTGGTGAATGAAGACTGAAATACACACCATGAACTACAGATTACTACGAGCTCACACATACATTTGATGCCGACTCCTGACCCTGCCAGGAAAAATTTCATTCTGGGATGATAAAATTATCCTAGATTCTTATGGAGAAAACACATCAATATCCACATGAAACTCCTACTGTTAGTCATTGATGACAGGGAAAAACTGGTCCAAAGTTCATATAAATATCCTAAATCATCCTGTACAGACAAATTCACTTAACTCTTCTTTCACATTACATTTCCTTCAAAGAAGATCTCAGTGAAGGGTTTTCTTTTGATTTGCCTGTATTTCAGAAGAATCTATATCAGTATGATTTACATCAGTTCAACGGTCACTTGCTTTAAATGAGGCACTGCTCGAGCACAACTCTGAAAGGGCCTGGGTAGTCACCAGTGCAATTAAGAACAAGGGCAGCGTACACTGCATCTGTTTTGCAAAACTATTAAGTGTTCTATTCTCTTTGGTTCAAATAATAATAGAGAGAACTGACTAATTGCAGTAGGCCGACATAGGATAGTGGCTTCCTTTCTTTGGAATTTTGAGCCCAGAAGTTTAAACATTTGGCCATTACATCACCCTTTCCTGAGCTGGGGATTATAGTGACAGAAGCCCTTAGTTGACAAGAGAAGACACATTTTTTTTCTCACCCGATTCTGCTACTCAGAAACTTTACAAAGATGAAGTGAAAATATCTGTAGGTGTTTAAATGTTATATATTCATGCATTTATTTACACTTTAGTTATGCAACGTTAAATTTCCTCATCTTTGCAAAAGTAGAGCAAAAGTTATGAGGACTTAGAAGTACATAAACTGCAAGACCCTGTAGGCACATTAAAAACTGTATGTTAAAACACACATATTTGAAAAGAATACAGATAGGGTCTTGTTATAAGCAAGGTATTTTGCACTTTTGGATTACCTATAGTAGTCATTATTCAAAAATTGCCATCAAGGCTATCTTAAATATAAGAATTTCTTCTACTAAAAGTAGGGTTTTTTTAAAAGAACAGAGAAAGACTGTTTAATGTTGGTAAATATCACAATATCTGCAATAACAGGTTCGCATTTTCATATATATATATTACAGAATTAAGCTATTTAGCAAAAATACTCTGATACCCTCTTCCTAAGTACTCATCTTTTGAATCTACATAAATATTCTAAATGTATTCATTCTTCACTACAGGCTTTTAATTGACTGGATTTGGCCTCAAATTTACATTTGTCTTATGTGAGGGCTTACATACTATATATTACCCAAAAAGCATTTTAAAGTAGCATGTATAATGTTTTACTACCTAGTGCAAAAACATGTATCATCAGGTGTCTTCATGTGTGTTAACACTTTGAAACTTTTAATACAGTTAATTTAATACACATATTAAATTACTTATAAATTATATATTATGTTACATTACATTGTATTACATTAGTACATGTATGCACACAGTGTATTTTCCTCCAAAAAATATTAAAAGTATTTTTTTTCATAATTCTGTAATTTCTATAATTCTGCTTTATTTAAAATGTGTAAAGAAAGTACAATGGATTTGTCTAGAGGAAAACAGGGATGATACTCACAAAATGGCTCTGGGGTTTGTTGTTAACAATTCAAAGAACTAGTTAGCATATTTTACATTTCTAACTGTTAGTTTCTATCTGTTCTAGCCATTGAAAATTTGTCAACAAGGTGGATTAATCCAAAAGTAAATTATATTCCATGGTCAATGAACTTGCACTCTAGACTTATGGCAATATTTCTCTGAAGCACATAGAATTTATTTAGAAAAGTACATAGTCTCAAAAGAAGCTATGAAATGCATACTGGAATTATGGTGTACTTCTGAAGAGATGGTAAAGGCATGGAACTTGCTAACGTCATTCAGAAAGCAGAATCTAATTGTCTGATCTTGGTGACAAACAAATTTATACATATTTTTCCATTCCTGATAAAAATAAATAGACACTAAAGCTACAGAAAAATAAATTATGAATATTTTATATTTCTATGTGCTATCCATAGAATTTATACCATTAACTAAAAGTATCAGGTAAAGAATAAGAATACTGTACCACCAGTACAATAGTACTGTAGTTGTAGGGAAAACAAAAAGAGAGACAGAATTCATCCACCAGAAAGCTTTATCTTGTGAAGCTGAAGGAAACCCCCCAGTTCTGTTTGGATTTTTTACAAGGTCTATTTGAAAAATTATCAAACTTGATATTAAAATAATCAAGATTCCAAATTGAAATTCTATCATGTCATTTGCCCATTTTTCTGTCCAGAGAAGAATGGCACTTTAGAGAGAATACATAAAATTGAACATACCCACAGAATTAAGAATTATGTAAATAAATATATATGCAGGGAGACAGAATTTATCTAAATTATTGAATAAATCATAGTAAAAATAAGGTGGAAGTAAATGACAGCTGGAAAAATAGCTAGAGATTGACACTCTTGAATTACAAATACACCTCTTCTAATTCTGTCCTCAGTTAAATTCCATATTCCAGATGAGTCAATAACAACATAAAAAATGTGAGATAAATCATAGTTGGCTGTTGCTGATTTCAGATAGGAGGACTCATGACAATTCAAATCTCAGGGATGAGCAAAATTAGAGATGATGGAAGATTGATCTCAGTTTCATAAATTAGCCTTGAATTAATCAACTCAAAATGTCTGCTTTAAAAATTGAATTAAAAAAATATCTTAGCAATAGCTAATCCCTAAGTGTTATGACAATACAAAGGACTTCATTTAAGCGAATTGTTATTGTTTCCATCATTAATTAAAATATATCAAAAGTAAACAAAATACATGCAAAATATCTTGCCACTAGAGAAGGACAGAATTTGCTTTAAACATTTTAAAAGTTAACTTGTTCTCAGATCGACCTCTGCACTGTAGGGCAGGCACATGTTTGTCTCCATAATACTAAAAAAATATAGTCTTTATGTAAGACTTTATATAAGTGTCAAACAAGACCAATTAGAAGCAGGCAAAATATAAATTCTTCATCTACAGAGTGTACATACAATAAAACTCATTAGGATTCACACAATACTTTCACTAGAACATAAAAAAATACCAGCATGTTTAATACCTTCACATCCTCTTTCTATTTGCCCATTGCAGAAGAGAGCATCTGAGATTAGATCAGGGAGTCGTCCATTCAAGTCAACTGATGCAAGACAGCCTTGAAATCCCTCTTTTGCATGCACCAGTTTTGGCAAGGATTTAAACATTTCTTTGGCCACTCCTCCAATATACAAATCACCTGTTATGGAGAAATAAAAATTAGAAAGAGAAAAAAACCCTGTAGAATATTTGACCTGCTTAATCTTCCAGCATTTATTTTTTTTTGTGCTGAAAGACAAGTATCTCAGAAAACCATTCTTCAAAATAAATGCAGAAGAAAACTGGTAACATATGTAAAAAGTCATTGCAGAACTGCATTCTTTCAAATGCATATGTAGACTCACATTTGTATGACTAATTACTTAAAATTACCTAGATATGTTGTTTATGTGCCAGCTCATATTTACAGGAAACACATATCTATTTCACAGATGAGGATTCAGTCATAAAATCTCCATCTAGAAACATATCTAGCACTGATGCATCTTGTTAAGCATACTCATGGAACCTGACCACATATAATCCTGATTATGGATTTAGAAGACTGAGATAAAAGGCAATAACTGAGGCACCAAGATCCTGCTAACGTCCATATATTCAGAATCCTCCATTTACAAACACACGCACACACACACACAGAAGGGGTATAGAGACACACCTAAGGAGAAACTTAGGGATACCATTATTAAGCAGTGAAAATTCATACTCTGTGTCAGTCATATCAGAACAGAGGGAGTTGGATGTCTGTAAAATGGCAATCTGCACACCGAGCAAACAAAATTTTATTGAAAAGAACAATTCTGATGACAAACATATATTATAAAAACCATTTTTTATGAACCTCAGACAAGTTACTTGGGACTGAAAGCTAGTGCTCTTCTTCTTTTGGGTAATTCATATCTTTGAGACTTACTTTGCAATGACACAACTTTTGTCTTAAAGACTGAGAGAGGGGATGCTTTTTTGTTTTACAATTGTTTTACAATTCTTTCATGTGTTTGTCTCTGGTGGGAAGAACTGTAATCTTTCAAACTAACATACTCCACACCTCCCTGAAGTGTGCCTTCAGTGTCAGATTACAGGTTTAACTAGGTGTGCTCCATAGCTGTTGCCAAAGACATGCTGCAGAAAAGAAGCCAAGCTTCGCCTTGCCAGAGAGGGGAATCACACTCAGCATGAGCATGGCCCTAGCTAAATGGTTTCAGTCCTGGCAGGCAAGATGTGCTCGAATCTTTGTCGTGGTTTGGGCCCAACACAACAACAAAGAACAGCCACATGGCCGTTCACTCAACTCCCCCCCCCCAAACACTCCAGGATGATGAGGACCAAGCTCATGGGTCAAGACAAAGGACAAGCAGGGCTCTTCACCGATTAAGGTCACAAGCAAAACTGACTCAACTTGGGGAAAAACACAGACAACACGAAGAGCAGTGCTCACATACGTCACCCTCATCTTTCCCTCAGCATCACAGGGGGATGGGGTTTAGAGTCGGTTCACAGGCTGGTGGTTCCTGCTGCTCCTTTCTCCTGAGGGAGGATTCCTTACAGTCCTTCCCTGCTTCTCCATGGGGTCCCTCCCATGGGAGAAAGTCCTCTACGAACGACTCCTTCATAAGTCCTTCCCACAAGGTCAGAAGCAAACTGTTCCAGCCTGGGCTTTCCACAGAGTCATGGGCTTCTTCGGGAACAGCCACCTCCCCTGGCACCGGGGTCTTCCAAAACTGCATAATCCGAGTCCACTGGCAGCAAATCTGAGTCCATTGGCCACAACATCCAAGTCCGCTGGCAAGTCCACCCCTCCTGGCACCTCCAGGGAATGTTTCACCACGTTCCTCCACGAGTGCAGGGGCACAGCTGCCATCTCGCCATGGGTTGCAGGGAAACTTCTGCTTGGGAACCTTCTTCCCCTTCTTCCTCACCAACCACCAGCACGTTCTGCCCCTCCAGCACTGCTCCTCTCCTTTGAGTGCTCACTCTGCTCAGCTCTTATCTCAGTTCTTTCGTATGTTAATTGCAGAGGTGCATCTATTGTCCCTCTAATGGCTCCTTAGGTGGTTTTGGAGCAGGGGCAGCTTCTCAGCTTCTTACAGGAGCCACGCCTGGGGCCCTTCCTCCACTACCAAAAATTCCGCCAAACCAAACCAGCACGTTCTTTCAGTCACAGACGGAAAGGAATAAAACCATGGTTTCCTACAACCTGCATGAGTTTGCTCTCTTGCTGTGTTATCCTCTAACTCAGAAAAAGCACCCACATGTGCAAATTTTGTGGGAGTGCTCTGAGCATGCCTACAGGCAAGCCCCCTATAGGCACACAGGAAGAAGACCATAGAAGTTTATGAGAAGCACTGAACCCACTTGAAGGAATGCTCTTACAGAAGAATCTGACTCGCAACCATCATCCAGTGACAAATTTCTTACTCTACCAATGCATCAAATCCTCACTCATTACATGTTTTGTGCTAGCTTAATTTTTCAATAGAATCTCTGATCATACATCCTAATTTACATTTCCAGTATGTCTGCCAGTCTGGACTGTGAAACCTAAGCTACAAGATGTATTAAAGAGTGTTTCTGCATCACTTCAAATGCAAATTGTTCATTTCCTAAGTGTTTACCAAGATTTGTAAGCAGATTTTATAGTGACAGAACTCAAGACGTACTAGCTATTATTCTTTCCCTCAGCATCACAGGGGGATGGGGTTTAGAGTCGGTTCACAGGCTGGTGGTTCCTGCTGCTCCTTTCTCCTGAGGGAGGATTCCTTACAGTCCTTCCCTGCTTCTCCATGGGGTCCCTCCCATGGGAGAAAGTCCTCTACGAACGACTCCTTCATAAGTCCTTCCCACAAGGTCAGAAGCAAACTGTTCCAGCCTGGGCTTTCCACAGAGTCATGGGCTTCTTCGGGAACAGTCACCTCCCCTGGCACCGGGGTCTTCCAAAACTGCATAATCCGAGTCCACTGGCAGCAAATCTGAGTCCATTGGCCACAACATCCAAGTCCGCTGGCAAGTTCACCCCTCCTGGCACCTCCAGGGAATGTTCCACCACGTTCCTCCACGAGTGCAGGGGCACAGCTGCCATCTCGCCATGGGTTGCAGGGAAACTTCTGCTTGGGAACCTTCTTCCCCTTCTTCCTCACCAACCACCAGCACGTTCTGCCCATCCAGCACTGCTCCTCTCCTTTGAGTGCTCACTCTGCTCAGCTCTTATCTCAGTTCTTTCGTATGTTAATTGCAGAGGTGCATCTATTGTCCATCTAATGGCTCCTTAGGTGGTTTTGGAGCAGGGGCAGCTTCTCAGCTTCTTACAGGAGCCACGCCTGGGGCCCTTCCTCCACTACCAAAAATTCCGCCAAACCAAACCAGCACGTTCTTTCAGTCACAGACGGAAAGGAATAAAACCATGGTTTCCTACAACCTGCATGAGTTTGCTCTCTTGCTGTGTTATCCTCTAACTCAGAAAAAGCACCCACATGTGCAAATTTTGTGGGAGTGCTCTGAGCATGCCTACAGGCAAGCCCCCTATAGGCACACAGGAAGAAGACCATAGAAGTTTATGAGAAGCACTGAACCCACTTGAAGGAATGCTCTTACAGAAGAATCTGACTCGCAACCATCATCCAGTGACAAATTTCTTACTCTACCAATGCATCAAATCCTCACTCATTACATGTTTTGTGCTAGCTTAATTTTTCAATAGAATCTCTGATCATACATCCTAATTTACATTTCCAGTATGTCTGCCAGTCTGGACTGTGAAACCTAAGCTACAAGATGTATTAAAGAGTGTTTCTGCATCACTTCAAATGCAAATTGTTCATTTCCTAAGTGTTTACCAAGATTTGTAAGCAGATTTTATAGTGACAGAACTCAAGACGTACTAGCTATTATCAGTACCCCATGCACCTAATTTTCTCCCTCTTATCAGTACAAGCCACAGTCCAGTCACAACTTTTCCTGGTTTTCCCAGCATACTTGTTTGTTCATGCGGGTGAGCAATTTATTGCCATTTGCAATGGTTTACAGTGTGCCTGCAAAGAAATGGCCTGAAACAAGCAAATGTATATCAGACCATGAAAGATTTTAGTAACTACATTATCTGACTTAAAACTCAACTGCATTGTAATTAGTGAAATGGAGATAAAAAGCTTAGGAAACATGCACATTATTTATCTTACAAGCCATCCATCCAAACAAAAGTCTCAGCAACCATTATAGCACTGTCTACTAAGAAACCTCAACCTTTTTTCCATTCCATGTAGATAATTTGAAAAAGAAGATATTGCTTTCCTCTAGAGCTTTGAGGTACAGTATAAATCTCAGAAGCATGATATTAAACATTAAAATATGGTTATCCATATGTTCCCATGTAATTCATTCACAGCAGAAAAAATCTGCGTTTTTCAACCAGCTGAACTGGAAACAAAGTAAAAAACTCTTGTCACATGATAAACGTTCTTCATCTTTGGCTCAGGTGAAACATTTAGAAAGTAAAAACCTTCCAGGTTTCCTGAATATTGTGCTTTCTGTCATCATGGCTCAGACCAGAGAGATAATTCCTCTCAGTTCATTCCAGTGGGTTTAAATGAGGGAAACTCCAGAAAACAATACTAAGAAAATCACACCTATGGTAGAAAGGTTAAATTTGGTCTAGAGGATATGACACATGCAACCTTTTTTTAAATGTCCCAACATGTATACAGTGAAAATGAACATTTTTTTTTTCTGTGATTGGTTAAACATTTTAAACTGCAAACTTTCAAACTGATCCCCTGCTAATTCCTAAGGTCCATCCCTCAAGCAAATTGAGAATGCTATATACAGACATCTCGTGATTTTCAGTTATGATTAATGGCTAGCAGAAGCCCAGGTCAGTGTGCCAATGTATAAACCTGAATGTAGAATATTTACACCTGAAAATGTACACTGGAATACTTTCAAATACATGTGATATGCACAGAATTATCATACTTGAGTCTAACTAAATATAACTACTGCTTACTTACAGTTCCTTTTGATTACTGGTAATGAAAAACTGAGCATTATATACTATTGAAGATATATTTTCCACAAACAAAGACATATTCTGGGTAATATTTTAACTTAGTTTATGTTCCAAAAAACTTGGTAATACACTACACT